AAAACTTGCGGTTACCGCAAACCGCAAAGTATAGCCACACGGATGATGAAGTTGAATTTTACAAGGAAATGGAACATATGACAACTTGTAAGTAATTAGTTTATTTATACTAATGTTATTTATGCTTCTTCTTATAATAAAATGTACTACACTATGTTGTTTTATTTGTAAATAACATTGGTGCTCAAACAACACAACGGGGTTCTTCAAATCCACTCACCACTAACACTTGAGTTTATAACTTTAGTTTGTAACATTGGTGCATTGCATTTTCCTTTTAGTTTGTAACTTTAATTAACTTTGAATTGAATTTTTCTTTTTTGTTGTAACTTTAATTCATTTTGCTTTGCATTTTCCTTTTGGTTTATAACTTTAAAGGATTTGGAATTGGAATGCTTGAGAAGTTTAACTTTAATTGAAATGCTTAGAATTGTAACTTTAATTTTGTTAGGTTGTGAATGCTTGAGAAGTTGATGAGATTGTGAATTTATATATGTTTGATAAATTGAGGTTGTGTATTATTTATTTAGGTTGTGAATTTATATTTTTGTGAATGCTTGAGAACTCGCGGTTTTAAACCGCAAAACGCGGTCGGTTTGCGGTTTCAAAAATCACCAAACCGCAAATAGTCGGTCGGTTTGCGGTTTGAGTAAAAATTCGCGGTTACCAAACCGCAACCACCCCTAGGCAGACCTATTAAGGCGAAAGGAAGTGTGGCTGCACCTTCGCTCGCCGGAAAATCTCTTGCAGCTACAACTGAGGCGTAGTTCTTGTGAAGAAGATGACCACTGTGCCCTAGTTTTCTTTCTGATAATTCCAAAATGAAACGACGCCATTTGAATTTGGGGAATGAGGAAATGGTGTGTTTTGTGACTTGAAAACAAAAGATGCCGTTTTATTTTAAACTCTTCAATCCCCATGAATTCAAGCCCAAATTGGACTTACTGAGCTTAATTATCTTCCCAAAAGAACCGAGAACAACCTACCAAATTCCTACCTTTATTTTAAGCCATGTGCATCCTTATCTCTTTAGACTATTTCTCTAGTTTTCTCTGGCATTCTGAATATGGCTAGATTAGCTTGAATACTGTATGTCTAGTATAATATATATGTGGGGATGCTTGATAGAGCTAATACTTCTAATTAATTATTAATAATGTTCTTTAATTAAATTAATTTATTATCGAAAGGTTCACATTACAAGACCAAATATATGTGTGGCGTATAGTGTCTATCAAGCATTTTAAAAGTCATTAAATAGGTTAATCTTGTCTTGACACTATACGCCACACATTACAAGACCAAAAATGCCTTTCTACCACACTTTGCTTTTTAAAACCTTGATTGATGCCTATTAGGTCCTCGACTAAATGCCTTAAAAAGGCTTTTCTATTTTGTTTGTTGCGCTCGCTTATTATTATTTTATTTTTCAAAATATCTTGTTCAAAAAGGCGTTATTTTTTTAATGGGTTAATCGTTTTATTAGTCCCTGAATTTTGACCCGATTTGCATTTGAGTACCTCAATTTCTAAAATGATTCCTGTAGTTCTTTAACTTTAGTTTCGTTTTGGACAAATTGTCCTGACGTCAATTTTGTTAACTTTTTCTATTAAATACAAGAGCAAAATGGTTTTTATATTAAAACCAAAAAAATGAATAAAAATCATATCTGTAAAATAACAATAAAAGAAAATCAAATAAAAAACCAAAAAAAAAGAAAAAAAAGAAAAGGTTTGGGAGGAGTAGAAATTGGGAGAGAGAGAGAGAGAGATTAATTTTAATTTTTTAGTTTTTAAAATTTTTTATTCATATTTTAATCAATTTTGATTCAAAATACCATTTTGTCCCTATATTTAACAGAAAAGTTAACAAAATTGACGGCACCATCTGTTGTAATGAAATTAAAGTTAAAGGACCACGGAAACTATTTTATAAATTGAGGTACTCAAATGCAAATCGGGTCATTCAGGGACTAATAAAACAATTAATCTTTCTTTGCATTAATTATGAATGACATTATTATTGTTTAAATTTAAGGGTATTTGGTCATGATTTTTTTTATTTGTGCTTTGTAGCCTTTTAAATATTGCCTTGTTTTGGGGAGTTGGTGAGTCACAATTCACAAGTGTCAACCCAACAAAAGGGGCTGGACGAAGCTTGAACTTGTCTGCAGACGCGAAAAATGGGATCGGAGACGAGAACCAGAGCAAGAAGAAGAAGCTGCCAAGCCACAGATTTCGGTGCAACTGCAGTGGCCAGCTCAGTGGACCTCTTGGTAGAGATCCTGATGCGCCTTCCAGCAAAACCCCTCCTCAGATTCAAATGCGTATCCAAACAATGGTACTCTATCATCTCTGATCCTCAGTTTATTATCAATTATGCCCAGAGAAGCTTAAAACCTCTTTTGGGTTTGTTGTTGAGTGGTCGTAAAGAACAATTAGGTCCATACCCAGAATTTTCTTTCATTTCCATTGGAGGCTATGGCAAAACTGGGAGAGTCCCAAAATTTCTTACCATCCCCAAATTGGAAATTCAAGATTTCTGTAATGGGTTGATGTGCTATTCTAAGCCTCACATGGATGCCCCTCAGTTCACTTCTTATTATGTTTGTAATTCTGCATCTGGGCAATCCAAAAGAATCAGAGTTCTTGAAAGTCCATCCAGCAAGAGATTGATGGCTGTGAATTTGGCTTTTGATCCTTCAAAGTCACCTTTTTACAATGTGATTTTTGTCAGTGAAACATCTGGGTCAGAATTGAACCATCTGATCAAAATTGATATTTACTCCTCTAAGACTCAGACTTGGAGACCCAGCACAAAGGGGCTGTTCATTGTGCCTCATGATGTGGACTTTGGCAACGGGGTTTACTGGAATGGCGCAATTTATTGGTACCATCGAGAGAAGAACTCTTTAGCATATTTTGATTTTGAGGCTGACTGCCTGGATAGGTTGCAAATGCCATTAATTTCTCAGGGATCGTACCCCATGAGTTTCGACTATTTTGGAGAGTCGGGCGGGCATTTGCATCTTGTTGGGACCTGCAGACCAGGCACTACTCTGTTCACTGTGTTTGAGATGGAGAAAGATAGGTCTGGCTGGTTTGTGAAGTGTAATGGTGATTTGGGTGCTTTAGCAACTACTTTCCCAAAGATGGTTACCCCTAGACTCTCTAGGCGTTATTTGTTTTCTCCAGTGAGCCTGTTTAGAGGAGAAAAAGAAGAAGAGCTGAGTATTGTGCTAATAATACCTGGGAGTGTGGTCCAATATAACGCCAAGGATAAGACATCAAAGAAGCTCTGTGATCTGCCAAAAGGTTTCATTTTCAATGACTTTATGGGGCAAGGCTTTAGGTTTAAATCGCATCAGTACATGGAGACCCTTGCTTCCATATGAAAAGTAGTGTTTTTCTGGTATCTCCTCCCTTCTTCTACCTTACCTTTGCAAGGATGATTTTGCTAGCGTTTCTATTCTATACATACGACTGTGTTGTAAGTTGTACAATCAAAACTTTGGTAATGAACTTTAAAAGGAGTACCTTGCTTTCTAAATTGAGGTTGACTAATCTTGTTGCTTCTAATTTAGACCCTTCTATGATTGAGGAAATTCAAAATTACAGTTGTTTTATGTGTTGCTACAGATATAAAACAGAGCTCTAATTTTATGCATGTGACCATGTTGAAAGTTGTATTATAAAACGTTTGGCAAAGAACATTTGATGGAGGAGTATAACTTAATTGCTTTCTAAGAAAGATGACTAGGTTTGTTGTATCTAAGTTGGAGGCTTAGTGCCTTCTCTGTTGGAGAAATTCACAAATTTAGCTCTTTCATGTCCTGCTTCTGCTATAAATTCTTTCTATAGCAGAAAGACAGGAAGGAATTGGGTTAACAATAAGTTCTTTCAATTCTGGCGATTTGATCCATGCACTTTTGATACTCATCGCAATTCAAGTATACGTCCAAATTTCCCTCCAATTATGTGACAGTGTACATTTCTCCCATGTGGAGGGGTATTTCTGTCTACTCGCCGTCTACCTTAGTGCTTAGCTGGATGTCTTCCTATTTCATGAGGGCTCCGCAAAATCTAGAGGGTGCAGATTGAGGGAACTAAAGATTGAGACAATTTTGATTCGGAGGTTGAAGAAGTGGCTCATCTTGTCATGTCAGACATATATACCCCTCGTCAGGAAACATTCCATCATGAAATTTGATGTGTCTTTGAATTGCGATAGGTATCAAACTACATGGATCAAATCACCAGAACTGAAACCATAGGGATCAAAGTGGAAATCCATCAATTTACAAAGGATCACAAGTGACTTTTAACCTTTTTCAGATGTTATTAGCAACAATTATATAATGACACTGATCGACAGTAACATTTGGTGAATAAGTTGAATTCTCGCCAAAAATAGTTGTCAGTTGGCCGAGAACTTAAAACCGGACCATTTTTTTAGCCTTTAAGGTCTCCAGTTTATTCTTATCTGTAACATGCGTCACGCCTTATGCTAATCATGATTAATATTTATATTCCGCTTTTACCATAAACGATTAAATGCGTATATGTGTTTTACTATATATGATTAACCGTAATTCATAATTGTCATAAAGGATTAACCATGGTTAACATGAGAAGAAATGCTATAAGTAGTGGGAATAAATCACTAGTACTCCTCAACAATATTGACTGTGTTGAGTTGGTGATTTTTTTCATGTAAATGGTGTGATTTGGAGTGTTGGTGAGTCTCAATAGTGTCAAGACAAGTAGAGGACTGACAGATCGGAACTTGGGCTTGTACGCAAAAATGGCACAGGATAGGAGAAGTTTAGAAAAGAGAAGAAGATGCGAAGTCAGTGCAGCTGCGTTGGTCGACTGTTTGGACATGCTGATAGAGATTCTAATGCGGCTTCCGGCAAAGCAGATTTTCAGAACACAGGCAGTGTCAAAAGAATGGTACTCCATAATCTCTGACTCTATTTTTGTTGTAAATTATGCCAAAAGAAACTCAAAATCTCTATCGGGGTTCGTCTTGAATGGTTGTAGAGCCCCATCCCCAGAATTTTTCTTCGTTTCTCTAAGAGGCAAGACTGGCAGACCAGCTAGAGACCCACAATTCATTAACATCCCCCAGATCAAAATTCAAAATATATGCAAGGGGTGGTTGTGTTATTCTCAGCCTCACATGGATGACTCTGGGTTCACTTCTTATTATGTTTGTAAACCAAAAGAATTAGTGTTCTTGACCATTCTGACAACAGGAGAGTAATGTCCGTTGATGTGGCTTTTGATCCTTTGAAATCAGCTTTCTACAATCTGATTCTTGTTACTGAATTATCTCGGTCAGAATCCCAGCAACTGATCAGATTGGCACCTACCCCTCCAAGACTCAGTCTTGGAGCTATGGGCTACATAATTTGGCTTATGAGGTAGGCTTTGGACATGGGGTTCATTGCAATGGTGCTATTTATTGGCGCCATGTGAGAAACAACTGTGTCCTACTTTGATTTAGAGGCAAATTGCATTCAAAACTTGAGAATTCCCCAAATGACATCAGAACCCTTTCAGACGAACATTGGTTACCTAGGGGAGTCGGGCGGGCGCCTGCATCTTGTCAGGACCTGCAGACCGAGCAGCATCCGCTTCACCGTCTTTGAAATGAAGGACGATAGGTCGGGGTGGTTGGTGAAGTGTCAAAGCGATTTCGGGGATTTGGTGGCTTTGTTTTCCGAGGATGGGAAGGGTTGCCCATGGGCCTTATCAGTTTAATTTGATGAACCTGTTTGAAGGTGAACGAGAAGAGGACTTGAACATTGTGCTCAAAATACCAGGTGCTGTGGTCCAGTACAATGCCAAGGACAAGACCTCAAGGAAGCTCCGGAGTCTGCCGAGAGGTTGCGTTTACAGTGAGTTTTCATTTTTTCACTCGTCTAAATCTACCAATGCATTGAGACTCTTGCTTGCATATGAGAAGACCTGTGCTTTTATAAGGAAGCTTTTTATTTTTTTTGTCGGTAATGTTTTTTATTTTACATAGTGACCACATGTTGAGAGTTGTTCAATCGAATACTTTTGCAGAGAAATTTAGATGGAGGTGTAGAACTTAGCTTTGTGACTGAGATTTGACTAGGTTGCAATTGCTTCTGATTTAGAGCCTTGTCTTGTATGATTGGCAAAATTTCTGTTTCTTTCTTGCTTTTATCTCTTGGTCTGAGAGTGATCAAAAATAACTTCTTTCATGTGTTGCTACTGCTACAAATTGTTTCTAAAGCGCAAGTTGAGGAGAGAAAAACGGCTCATAGTTGCTTCATATGATTTAATGTTGCTTTGTTTTATGCATATTTTAAACTTTTAATTAATGATAACTATTTTTTTATATTATTTTTGTTCTAAGAGATGGACCAATTATATTGAATTAAAAAATAATTATAGTATTTACGACTTCCTAAACTAGAGAGTATGATTAGAATTCAAATTTTATAGAGAGCTCCTAAAATAACATTTGTGTATTTTTAATTAAATTTTAACTGAAAAAATAGATAGCATAATTGTAGATGTCAGTTTACATAGTGGAACGGTAACATCAAAAACATCAAAAAGTTGGACTCGACGCGATTCTTTTTTCATGAATTTTGCGTCACCTGAATGTATTTTTTTTCTTCATGTGCATGTACGAACAAGAGAAAAGACAGTTGCATAAGTATCAAGTTTAGGAGTAAAAATAAAGAGAAATGCTAGCAACCTTCTCTCTAACCTTTTCCTTTAGACATTATCAATTTTTTGTTTGACATGTGTCATTCTCTTTACACTTAAAACAATGTCACTAAATAATAGAATAAGTATAAATATCGGATCAGTACGGGTTTCCGTCGGGTTAGAAATATTGTTCCGTTAACCAAACCAAATATCTTGGTATGGATCGAATCGGAATAATTAAAATTAAAAAATAATTATTTAACCAAACCAAACCAAACCGTCGGTATGGTACGGTCGGTACGCGGATAATTCGGATGAGATGTCCCCTACATTTAATAAGGGTAAACTTGGAAAGTAAAAGTTAGCTTGAATAATATATTAATGACATTGTTTTAAGTGTAACGAGAATGACACATGTCAAGTAAAAAAAGGAGAAGGTCCAAAAGAAAAGGTTGCTAGCAGTCCCCAAAAATAAAATGATGATGATAACAGTTGGTGAATTAGTAGCTGCTGGTAGTAGTTGCCGATTGGTTGGAAACTTAAATCTGGACTTAATTTTTTTTGTTTATTTTTCTCAATGATTTTCTTTTTCATATACGAAGGATAAAAATAGTATGTGGACTGATTTAAGGAAATTTCAGGGTATGGTTTGAAATGAGGTGGAGATGGTATTAATCCCAAATTCGAACCCACCTCGTTATATATATATATATACAGAGAGCTTCCATTGAGGGATCCCTCAAATAAGCTTATTTGAGGGACACCCCTTGTAGGGCCCACTCCGGATTGTATTTCACTAATCCAAACCGTCTATTTTGTAGATACACATTCAAAGATCATCTCTACAAAAAATCATTTGAATCCGATATCATTTGACCATTCAATTGAGTTATTGAAAATTTTAGTACTTTCTTGAAGCACCTTGTTCATTGATTTTGTAGGACCCAATTAGATGTCGAAACGGTTTCCGATTTGTTTAATTTTTTATAAGGATGATGTATGAATGAAGACCTAAAATATATATATATATATATATATATATACAGTCCCCTTCTATTGAGGGATCCCTCAAATAATTTTATTTGAGGGACGCCCTTTAGGCTACTCTACAATTTTTTTTCCAATGATCCAAACCATCTATTTTTTAGGTCTTCATTCATAGATCATCCTTACAAAAAATTAAACAAATTGGAAACCGTTTCAACATTCAATTGTGTCTTACAAAATCAATGAACCCGTTGCTTCAAGAAAGTACTAAAATTTTAATAACTCAATTGAATGGTCAAATGATATCGAATTCAAGTGATTTTTTGTAGAGATGATCTTTCAATGAGTATCTACAAAATAGACGGTTT